CTCGCGGGAGCGCGCACAGCGTAAAGCAAAACCTCCCAGACATGTATTGATCTGTACGGCAAAGTACGGTTTGGAAACTATATCATTTCCTTTTGGAGGGCATGCATAACACGGCATAACACCAGAGCCTCGCTGCGGGGAAACGTTGGCGCTGTTCCGAGTTTGTTCTAATCTGTCAAAATGACAGACTGCTTTCAGATTTTTCCGTCATTGTTAAATAAAAATTCGGTTAACGCGACCACTGCTGTCCCAGCAACATCAGTACCAAGCGAGAGAGTTTTTTCCAGAGCAGGGGATATTGTAAATGCCCAAACATCCCAGCTTATAAATACCTGGAAATGTGGACATTCTCATATTCCTAAAAACCTGTCTGATGATGCTGAGTGAGTGACTAGTGAGTTTGAGTTGAGTTACTTGAAAAACTAAAGTGAAACTTGATTTATTTTATTGCAGGGTCTGATTATTAAATGTCCTTGTTTATTTGTGAGATGCAGTGGCACAAAGAAAATGCCTGCTTTGTTTGGTAGTACTAGTAGGTACAAAAACACTGGTTTTCTTGTTCCAGTCTGTTACTGTCACTTTGTTTTTGACACTTTAAAATACTGCTATCCTACTAAAATGCTATACAAATCAGATGTATTATGTAATAAAGAAACATTTTCCGAGTAAAAAAATATTTTATTGAAAAGAAAAAATTGAATTTTTTTTTTTCCTTTATTATTCAATATCGCGATAAATACCGTACCGTGGACTTGTTATCGCGATATTATCGTACCGTGAGTTTTTGGTATCGTTACATCCCTACTATTTTCTGATAACAGCAGATAACTTTTGATAGCTTGAACTCAAATATTTTGTTGTTATGTTAACATAAGATATGTTCAAAATGGAAACAGTCTTACAGCATTGTGAATAAAACCAACAACCAGCATGATAGAAATAACATCACAACACATGCTAAGTTGCTCAGGGGTTGAGAAGTTGATATTTAGACATTGGGGATATTATTCTTATGATAGAGCATCTACAACAAGTCAAAGAATGTCATGAAGGTCCTGGTAAAATATCTGCCGTTTTATCAGTATTCTTTCTTCCTCTCCTATTAACGGGTTTTCTAAACTTAATGACCTCATATTTGTAAGCCATGTTTTTAACAGTGTGCAGCATTATGTTAATAGGACCTGAACCTCATGCTCTCTGTCCATCTTAGTTGCTTTCTAGCTAGTACTATTGAAGGGCCAAATATTTTTAAAGTTACCAGAAAATGCCATTAGGACAACGACGGAAATTTTGCCTGAACTGAAGTGTGTTTGCATGCCACATCTTTTTCACAGGAACGTCCAAAGAGCGCTGTGTTTCCTGCAGAGCTCAAGTCCAAAATGAGTGTGGAGGAGCAGAATGAGCGAATCCGACGAAACCAAAGCAGCTCTGTGAGGGACAAGAGGAGGAGTCTGATCCTCTCTGGAGGCCAGTCTCCAGCCAACTACAAAGTGGTACGATCTACATCTGATTATCCTGTCAAGCATTAAAACACTGATTGTCAGAAAGGAAAAACCTAACAGGTGCTTCCAGGTGGGTATTGTAGTCCTACATGTACAATTGTGTTAACCACATGTCTTTTAATTATGAGAACAAGACATGTTTTTAACGAATCAAAGTTATTTGGCTAATTGTTTGTACACAACATCCATACGGAGCAAACACTAAGGTGTTTACTCATATCAAATTGTTTGTGCATGACAGCATGAAACTTGACTGAAAATGGACAGCATTTATTTATCGCATATGAAATGAACAGATACAAATATTAATAGCGTCATGTGTTACACCCTGCTGACACCCTGCGTTTCAGAGGTAACAGCATTACTCATTTATGGTGTATTGACTGCATTAATATAGCACTTTTCCAGTCTTTACAATTTACAAATCAGTATTCACACATTCAAAGAGAAAGAGGCTGCCATACATCGACATGTTGACAGCAGGGTTCAGGATCGAACCACAGGCTTCCGGTTTGCGGTTGACCATCTACCTCCTGAGCCACAGCTGCTATTTGTAATTGTGTGTGTGTGTGTGTGTGTGTGTGTGTGTGTGTGTGTGTGTGTGTGTGTGTGTGTGTGTGTGTGTGTGTGTGTGTGTGTGTGTGTGTGTGTGTGTGTGTGTGTGTGTGTGTGTGTGACAGATTCGAAGGCGGCTGACAGCTCATGAGATTGACATTAATGACCTGGAGTTGGCAGTGCGAGGTCAGGGTCTGGAGTCTCCTCGGGAGGAAATCGCTCGCCTGAGGCAGCCGTACCACCTGGACATCAGCAGGGTGGTGAGGGGCCCCCACCAGCTACCCTTTGCCAAATGAACGTTGTGTTTACTCTGATGTAATGTAATGTGGAATGTAACTAGGTGCATGTAGTCAGTGTATTTAACTGGGCCAGACTCATACTTCTGCTTCAGCAACATTTAAAAATGTACAGTCAACAACTTATTATTTATTTAGAAGGTTTTACAAACAAAAATAAATAATAGCTGTTAAAATACGCTGCACTGTCAGCACTTTCCATGATTAATGCTGTTTTATTTGGGTACTTACTGTATGTTGCCTGTTAGGAGTCATCAAGTCAGGGAAAACAAATCTATGCTCTCAGTAAACATCATAGACTACATGAAAGACTGAGACATAAATGGCTGCCGCCTTACTCTGCTACACGAGTGCCAATGCATTGTGGCTAGTTTTAGGTAGAACCCAGAGATGGGAATATAGATAAGAAGAAACACACACACACACTTTTTTGTTATACAGATACAAGGTACAAACACACACAGGTGCACACGTGCACGTGCATTTTGGGGAGGTCCAGAGCGGGAGGCAGCCAGTCGGTCCGACTCCAGGGCGCAGCTGGGGGTTTGGTGCCTTCTTCAAGGGCACGTCTCCAGTGATGTGAACAGGCGACCCTTCATCTCCAAGACCAAGTCCCCACAGACTAAGGCACTTTTTCGTAAACCTGAATATACTGCATGCATCATGAGACCCCTGCTGAGGATTAGGAAAAACAACAATTAAGAAACAAATCACAAAAACTATCCTTTAAAAAAGTATCTAGTTGTTCAATAAAAGACACAATGCTCATACTAGAAATGTTGCTGATCCTGAAAGTTGTCCTAGTTCCCTGCTTTCCATTCTATGATAATGGCACAGACCACGGGGTGTTTGAGCATACAAAAACACAGATGATCAACAGTGTTGGCAAAAGTATTTTACAACACAATACTTGACGATTTTTCTCCACATTTTCTTAAATCTCAATCTCTACATGGATGGCAGCCGTTCCATTCCAGTGTCTGTTGAATTCCAACAAAAATAAATGTTGTCAGTAGTTTAGAGAATAAAATACAAATATATTTATTTTACTCAAACACATACTTATAATAAGTAAAACCAGAGAAACTGATCATTTTGCAGTGGTGTCTCTTAAGTTTTCCAGAGCTGTATATAGGAATGATTTCAGCTGTTGTTGTTCTTGTGTCGGCCTATTCTAGCTGAACATTGGGTCGTAGCTCAAGAGGAGATGTGTTGATACATCATTTCTTAATTCAAAAACAATCTTATTTTTCTAATTTTTTGATAAAATATAATTAGATGTAATATTTTGTGTTTATATGTGCATGTAGGCTATATGTGTGTGGATCCATATTTAATTAGATTACCTTTTTTAGCTTCTGACTCCTGACAAGGTTCTGATCCCGGAGCGCTACCTGGATGTGGAGGACAGCCCCCCGCTAAGCCCCGAGGAGCAGAGGGAGAAGCAGAAGAAACTTGAGCGGATCAAGACCCTCATCGCTAAATCCAAGTGGGTTTCACTCATACAGATGTAGCGATTCATTTCAGACAGTTTGAAACGCGAGGGCCGTGATTGGTACGTGATCTGCCCTCGCTCAAGGGAAAACCTCCAGCTTGACTTGAGACCGCCCCCGTGATAGATAAATGTAATTATAATGAAGCCAGCTGCAATGGATCATTGATCCACCAGGGGGTGCAGTGGGGTTCCACACTGGAGCTCATGTGAAATAAAGTGAGATACAGTATGCTGGATGTACAGCGGAACTTTGTTAAGATCCATATGTCACGGATATCATACTACTGTGCTAAATAAGAGACATGTAATCATTTACAAAACATCACCATGTTGTTATTTAACAAAATAATGTTGTTATTCGAAAAAAACGAACGGGAGGAAATGCAGCCCGGCTCTCGATTTTTAATCCTAATTTAATCATCATCTTCACCAAGATCATTTATGTTTATGTTCGCCTGAATATCACTGACACATATGAATATACTGTATTCAACTTCATTAAAACGTTATTAACGTGCCTAAACTCAGTAATTCACCAAAAATATGTATATTTTAATGGAGCTTCGTCGGTCGATCAGGATCCCAAAGCGTAGCGGAGGGATCCTCATCTGCATGAAGGGTGTTATTTTCCCCATAAGGAACAAGTCGCTGCAAATTATCCCGCTTATTACATGGCCACATTCTCAACAAAGTAACGACATGACTCCCAATATTAATTTAAATGCTTTTATGGATTTAGAAAATGTTTTTATTGATTTAAAAAAATGGTTGTATGTATTGATTTAAATTGACATGCATCTGCTAAGAAAAATAGTCCGTTGTTACCGTTTTTTAAACAGTCTGAATGAAACGGCAGCTCTCAGCTGTGTATTTACACAACTAATGGCCCATCAACAACAGCTCTCTCCCCCCCTCCCCCCCTGATCTTTCTT